AAATCGATAAATCGATTGGCAATTGGTAAGTATTAAATGTTCAGTAATTTTATGTAAAGATGTTGTCATCTGGATAATTATGCATATGATTTAGAAAAATATTGTATAACCTAAAGGAACTTAAAGGATATCTGTTATAATGCTACGGTAATGGATCAATATATTGATTGAAAGGCGCTTAAACCGAAAATCTTCCCATCATATAATATATGGCGCAACGTAGATCTGTTGATTTTTTTATCCAAAATCAGAAAGCGACCTTGGTAGGTAAGTATTTTAGATTCCCACTAATATTCTACATTCCTTGTGCAGATTAACTAACCTCTGATTTTTGAACATTTCGCCAACATGCAAATCTCCATTGGAACTTGTTCATCGTTTATCTGAAAACTCGTATATTTAATTTTGAACTTGTACTTTTTTTAGAATTACCTTACCTTGCCCCATTCTCTAACAGATCTTCGGTCGATAAACTTCACAGCAACCGGCAGCTCATCAGCCACACGTATAGCTCGGTAGACGATACCGAAACCACCACGGCCGAGTTCACCTTTGAGCTTGTAGTTCTTCTTGAACTTGTTGAATCCGCGACCTAAGATAGGAGGAAATCAAAAAAGAAGATTAGTTTGAGCTCTTTGTGCTGTTTGCACCAGTTTTCCTTACTTTGTAAATTTTATTAGCTAAAGACAATATGATTTGACGGGACAGAAGGGTTTAGTATCAAATTAAAATCAGGGGCATTTTTGGAAATTTGATCAACACTCGTAAACCTGTTTCCCGCTAGCCGAAAATTAAATTTAGGAGATAAAATTTGATTAGAATTGGCAACTAGATTAAGAACGCAGACATTCAAAAGAAGGCATAAAACAAACTTAAACAGATTTCTGATTAACCTAGAACATGGAGGAATTCACATTTCTAAGAGAATGTTAAGTGGAAACAAACAAATCATTTCTAGGACATTGATGTTAACTGATTCTGAAGTTTTAAAGTAAAAGGAAAACCAAAATACTTTAAGCGCATGATTTGACCGGCAGCTGTTTAGAACATTTTATGTGCCAAAAAGAGCTTTAGATTAGTAGTTATTGGTAATGAGGGCAAAACTCGGATTTCAAGGACTTCAAGAGAGTCTAGTTGCACGAAAAAAAGCTGGTATTAGAAAATTGCATAGATATAGAGACGAAAATCTTCAAAAGCTTCAATTTGTAAGAGCTTTCCACTTTCATATTTGGCTGCTATGCATGAGAAAAGGTGAAGAATAAAATGTTTTAGAGTTCCGATGTGTGGATTAAAAGGAATTAGAAAAGTGGAGAGCTAAATGCTATTTGAGGTAATCATAACTTAGCTGCTTTTCGGCTTAGCAGCATACGTAACAGTAGGAAAGCGGCTTTATGCTATCTAAGGATTTAAGAGCTCAGAAATTTTATCTAGCGAGTTATCCTTGCGGTTATGAAATAGTATGAGTAAAACGATTTTTGCCGCGACTCTTTTTGGTGTAGCTGTTTTTGAATTCTACATGAATTTTTATAGGTTTTTTGTGTTAAAAGTGGTTTTAGCATTCGGTCAAGCTTTTCCATATTTTTGTCAAAATCACGCAAAGCTTTTCTTGCTTCTTGGGATTTGTCAGTTGATATAACGTAGTAAATAGATCGGAATAACAATTTATTGAATCACTAGATGCAAATGGATCATGTTTTAGAAATTTTACTAAAATTTGGCTGGTTTAGAGTCACAAAATAAGCTTAATTTTTCAAGATACTGTCTAATCAACTAATCTCTGACATATTTTCTAGTACTGATAAGACCACGTGGTAAAAACCAAACTGTACTCTCTAAAAGCACTTTTGCACACAGGGCAGCAATATTCTTCATCTTCAGATAATGTAAAAATCAAAATCGTAGTCTATACTTAG